AATCAATAAAATGAGAGAGGCCTGCATGGACCAACCATGCTCCTGTGCCAGGAGCTGCACAGCATCTAAATCCTTGGTGCTTGGGATCAAAACAAACAACTAAAAGAAAATGAAAGTGAGAGGCCTCTGAGCCTTTCATGGGCTGTGGGTGGTGGAGGAGTGAGTCTCCGCACCTGTGCACAGGTGCATCGGGGACATGGTTGGTCTTGTGTCTTGGGTTCTGGGAGCCCTTTACCACCTCTACCTGCCAGGGAATCAGGAGAAGAGCAGCTGTGCTGCAACCGAACAGGATCTTTGGAGGCAAATAACAGTACATATCAGCACAGGGCAACATGTCTTCAGAATGATAGTGCTGGCTATCTGCCGCATCTTAATTCAACACACAGCTCAACTGCTCAGGAAAGGCCGGAGGAAACCGGCAAAAAATAAGCACATTTGTTTTATCAGTGCAGCTGGGTTTCCGTGTGAAAGCATAGGAACCACAGCACAGCGATTTGCATTTATTTTTTTCCACCCACAGGATAGACTGTGTTTACTCTTTCCTGGTCAGGTTCAGCTTAACAAGGCCTGGGTCCCTGCGTTAGCTTGAGGAAGGCTAAGCTCTACTCTGGGCCCACCGCTCTTCTCTTTAACAGAGCCGTTTCCCAAGAGGGCCTCCAATTTCGCCTGGGATCCTTCTGAGGTCTGCAAAACCATCCTGAACACTTCCCACTCACCCCACAAGGGGCACGTCTGCTCCTAGGTGCGGCTCCTGCCACACTTCATTGCAGCCCCTGGCTACAAGCTGTCCAGGCCTCTCGGAATGTGAGCTCTCGTTGGGAGAGGCCACACGTCTTCATCACCCAAGGGCCTCACACAGCACGTGTCACATGGATGATGATAAGTGCTTGCCAATGCAAAGATTTGAAAGTGCAGACTTAACTCTCCCTGCATCTAAGAACCATTGGAGAAGTCAATCTAGTTAACAAGCAAACAAGAAAAAAAAATTGAAAATGGGTGGCATAAAGGTTAGATAGCACATACATGAAATGCTTTCTGCCTTCCTCTTGGTTTGTCAGCTAGCCTGCTGAAATAAGCTGTAGGCTTCCAGAAACCTCTGCATCTATCCCTTCCTAGGTGCTCAGGGGCATGGCTTAGGGTTCATTCCTTTTGTGTCCCTCCGCAGATGAGGTGTCTTAGTTTTAGTTAGTTCCTTTAGCATCCTGTGCTTGAGAGGGCAAGATGTCATCCATGGCTAAATAACGAATAAGTTTTGGTTCTTAAAAAGGTACCAGCACAACTGAAGACATCTCAAGCTTCAAGAATCCCATGCAAATGAGATTTTACTGGCTAATGCTGAAGCCAAGGCATCCATCCAGCCAAAGTTCCAGAGCCCTGTTGCAGAACTGGAGCCAGTGCCCACCCCACAGGAACTAACATCCCTGCCTCAACAACTTCCTGTTAGGTGGCAGGCGGGAAAATGAAAATGAAACCATTTAAAAAGTACCTAAAAATCCCATTGGGATGAATAGAAGGAAGAAAATGAAAGCAGGGGTGGGGCTGCCATGTGAAATGTGGTTATCAGGGAAGTCACTGTGGAAGCCATGTATTTGATCAGGACCTAAGTGGGGAGGAGCTCCCTGGGCAGAGGGGAGCCTCTGGGCAGATCCTCATATGGGAGTGACCCAGCCGATGTGAGGGGAGATAGAAAGGGTGCACATGGCCTGCCTATCTATCTATCTATCTATCTATCTATCTATCTATCTATCTATCATCTATCTATCTTTCTATTTATCTATCTATCTATCATGGGGGCTTCTGAGGCCACTGTAGGAAGTCTGGCCTTTACTTGGAGAGAAATAGAAGCCACTAGATGTCTGGGAGCAGCGGGTATGTGGCCTGATGTCATTTAAAGGGTTACTCTGGCTGCTGTGTGGGGTCAGCAGTGGGTGGGGCAGGAGGGGGCAGTGCTGGTGGGCCAGGCCAGGAGGAGTAGGGAGCGGCAAGGGGTTGCAGGCTGATGCCAGGCACCTGCCAAGAGGATCCCCAGCACAGAGGGACGTAAAGGAGGCCTGGGACCCTGGAAGGTGGAGTTGCCCTGGACCATGATGGGGAGACTGCAGGGAGCAAGTGTAGACTAGGAGAGCAGGAGCTTGGCTTTGACTGGGTTCGGCCTGAGGTGTTGTGTAGACAGTGTCAGCAAATGGATCTGAAGGTGGTAAAGAGACAGCTGGGATCACTGGGCCCTCCTCCAGGGCAATGCTGGGCTTGATTCCCAATTACAGGGGCAGTTTCAACCCTGCTGGGGTAGGCATCTCTCTCGGATGGCTGACTAACCCGGCAGACTCACCCTAGGAGGTCCTTCAGTTGCCTCTATACAACTGGCTCTCGACGGTTCTATGGCCTCTTTTTAAGAGCTCACTGGCTCCCTTATTAATTAATGAGTTAAATAAAATCTTGGACACATGTTGATTGATTTTGTCGGAGAATCACAATTTGACCATGTAAAAATTATATGGTGACTATGCCCAGTAGCGATGCTGGTTGGGTGGTTGGCTTTTTGAACCTAGAGTCCTGACCCAGGCCAGGCTGAGGTACACAAGTGAGAGTTGTCCACATAGAAGGGGCACTTATAGCCACAAGACAGAACGATCGGAGGAGCCAGCCCTATGATCCGTGCCTTATCTCATCTAACTTTCATAACTGTCCACGAGAGTAAACATGTTTATTATTAAAATTATCTCCATTTTACAGATGAGGAAACTGAATCAGGGAGGCTGAGTAACTTGACAGAGCCCACAGAGCCAGAACTCGAACCCAGGCAGTTGGCTAGTGAACCTTCAGTAGTCCTCAATCTGGGGACACTGGGCAATGGCTGGAGACATTTGTGACGGTCACAACTGGAGGGGGAAAAGGCGAATATTACAGCGTCTCACAGGTAAGGCCAGGGATGCTGCCTAATGCTCTATGGTACACAGGACTGTCCCCTACATCACAGAATTGCTGAGCCCCAAATGTCACTAGCATGGACATGCAGAAACTCTGACCTCAGCCGTGACACTGCCACCCTCCAGACCAGGTGGCCTCCTCTTCCACACGTCTCCACAGCCCTTCTCACACCTGCAGGGATTTACTTGCTAGTAACAACTTCTTCAGGATCCAGGGTCCCCTCCACACTGTGAACTTCGTTTGCCACCAAATTCCCAGTGCTCAGGCAAATGGCCGGCAAATACTAAACATCTGCGCTACATTGAGTCTGGGATTTCTGATATATCTGTGCTGACTTTTTAAAACTCTCAAAGATGTGTGATAGAGAAGCAGTATGAGAAGGTGTGACATTTACATGCTACGAATTTGTATTACGTATAAAATGCATTATTGCACTGAGCTTAGGAAATGAGACTAACCAGAAAACCTGAAGCCCAGCATCCAGGCTTCAAGTCCTGGCTACGCTAATTTTTCATTGTCCTTGAAGCTAATCAAGCCTGTGGAAACAGCAGCACCAAATTGACTAAACGAGATTTTCAATTAACTCAAACAGATGGCTGAAATTTTCCAGGTGACTTTCCATATTAATTCAGTGAGTTTGCTGGACCAGGCCCCAGGAGGCTTGGCAGGGATAGGGGCTGAAAGGAAAACAATAAAAAATATGGAACTTCAGGAGAAAAGCCAAAGCAATCCTCTGAACTTTAAAAAATATCTCAGCAAAAATATCACCAGCCAAATCAATTCACCTCTCCGAACCAGCGCATGTCTTGGGCTGACGCCCCAGTGGTCGGTCATCCCTGGGACCAGCTGCTGGGGGCTAGGTTCATTAACCCTCTGGAGACTCAGGTCCTCCCATGTTGGGGAGAAGACTCATGCAGGGCTGAGAGGGACAGGCAGTGCCTCACCCTTCCTAGAGCACTGGGCTTCTGGGCTTCATCCGTCCGCCTGGGGATCTTACAACATTATAAGTTTCATTGAAGAAAGACGAGGGGAAGGAACCTCAGTAGAATTCTGCAGAGGTCTCGGGCTTCTGTGCAGGAGCTCGGGGTGTAGGGCAAAGGTGGCATTGGAGCCACTGCAGGACACAAGCACATCATTCAGAGAGGTCCAGAGTCACCAGGTGCCAGAGCATTCATCCCTGAGCTAGACCCGAGACCTCAATTCCTGCCCTTCCAGAAGCTGCCAGAAGCTACTAGTAACATGGAATTTTGAATGGAATAATAAAGGCCCAGGCTAGAGGTACAGCAAAATATGGGTTGGGTCTTTGCTGAGCCTCAGAATGAGTTATTCTTGGTTTAAATAGTGCCATTCATGAAATTTCAGAATCTGTGTATGAGTGGGTCCTAGCACTGCTAAAATCCCCTCCTCTTTTTGAGTCTCCCATCAATATTCTTGACAGAGAGAAGGCTGATGATGGCATAGCTGGACTCTGGAAGTATAAGCAGTCCACAGGCTGCTTGAATTTGGGGAAAATACTAAACTGATATTTAGACCACTTCATTTCTATTCTAAATCAGTTGTTTTTAGAAAAAAATTGACCACAATCAGATGCTAATAATAATAACTCAATGACATTGTTAATACCTTCCACAGGGTTGGGACCTTACCAACTTTATGAGAATAGGATTTGCCACTGGCAAGTTGCTCCACGCTCTAAAAAATGCTCTAGAAATAGAGCACCATTTACGGAAGGTCAGATTCCATGGACTGTCTTGGGAAGACTGCATCATTTCCTCTGGTGTCCCCCTGAGGCATGCCTGGGGCCCAGTCATCCCCCTCCCAGAGGAGCCCAGCTCCCGGGAGGATAACCTGCACCTGACCTAAGGTAAGAAATAATAGTACTTGGTGAATAGTATTCTTTTCCTAGAAAATGGAATCATAAAACAGTGAGGAAATCTTTAGGAAAGGTACCTTTTTCTTGGATGTTTAAATTTGTTGTAAGATAAATCTGATCCAGAAGAGACCATGTACATTGAACATTCACCTTCGTTTTCTTTTTTTTTTTTTCAGTAACATAATAGAAGGAAGCAAACCTCATCCGTGGATCATCAGGTGGCATCATCTCCAGATCATGGGTGGGTCCATTTAAGCCAATAACGTGTAGGGAAATGCTGGGGTTCTCACTTCCAGCCTGGGAATTAAAAAGGGGCAGAGATATGAACAAGCAGCCTCATGCAAGAGTGAACTTCGGCTCTGCAAAGCCTTTCCCAGGAGATTCCTCCATATTAAGAAGTAGAATTAATGTGAAGAACAGATGGTTCATGTGTGGGGTTTTCAAAAGGACAAAGGGTTAAGTGGGCTGATTCTTGCTCTTCTAGAATCCCACCCACTTCCCATTCCAACCAACTGCCTGGTTTGGCAATGTCAAGCAAGTACTGAACCCCTTGCTTAAAAGAGAAGACAAGAAGAGGAGTGGAGGAGAAAAGATGGATTGGATGCCAGGAAGGGGAAAGTTGGAGGTGAGCCATGCTCAGTGTGGGGAGAGATTAATTCCTTCAAAAAGGAACTGGGGCACTATTCTGCTTCCCTGCTCCCCACTCTCTGGGGGACAAGTATGGGTCTGGGGAGAGATGTGGAGTTTCTTCTTCAGGGGGACTTCAGGGTCTTGTCTGATGCTCTCACTTCCATCCTGCAGAAGACGTTCAGGTTTACAGAGGCTATCAGTCCCACGACAGGGCATGTCAGGCAGGCTTGCCTATTCATGCCTCTGAGGAGTGGGTGGGACTGGGGCAAGGAGCATCTGAATTCTGTCAGCCAGAATATGTTGATTTTCTATTAAAATATGAAACCCCAAATCTTGAGTAATCTGGGATTTCATAATCCCAGCTTCAGAGCACCTGTCTGAGGGTTCACTGTAAAATCAAGGGCACCCTACTGGATTCCAGGTTATCACTCCTAGATTGGGGAAACTCCCACAAAAAGACAATCATGGGAACAATTCATCTCCAGGTCAGATGAAGGTCAGACAGTCACCAGCTCTTCCGGTGGGTGGGGTGGCTGTGAACAGCTGGTAAGAAACGTAGAAGGGTTAGAAGGAACTAGCATCAGTCCAGTACACTTTTCTCTATTTAACTATGCTTCCAACTAAAATCCTGGACCCTTCCACACGCTACAGACTAAGACCAATCAAGGTTAGCTGAAAAAGGAGTGAAGGAATTCTGTCAAAGGCAAATCCACACATGTTAACGTCCAGATGCTCTCAGAATCCGAAAAGGCAGAAAGGAAGGCTATGGCCATGAGAGCCTTGTGCTTCTTCCTTCTGGGGCTCCCTTGGATGTTGGCCATGCTGATCAAAGGCTGTTGAAAAGAGCCTGTATTACCAGGTGTATGGACTGAATATGTCCCTCAATTCATACAGTGCAGCCCTAACCCCCAGTGTGATGCTATTTGGAAGTAAGGTCTTTGGGAGGTGATTGAGGTTAGATAAGGTCATGAGGGTGGCACCCTTGTGATGAGATTCGTGTCCATAAAAGGAGAGGAAGAGACACCCAGAACCCTCTCTTGCCCTTTCATGTGAACACATGGCAAGAAGGTGGCTGTCTGCAAGCCAGGAAGAGAGCCCTCACCAGGAACCAAATCAGCTGGAACCCTAATCTTGGACTTCCAGCCTCCACAACTATGAGAAAGAAATTCCTGCTGTTTAAGCTGCTTAGGTCTGTGTTATTTCGTTGTGGCAGCTGGAGCTAAGACACCAGGTGTTTCCTTTCTCTAGGCTGTCACTCTGGGAACCTTACTGGCCTCATGTATCTGCCTTATATGTTATCAATCCTCTTGCTGTAAACTGTAAGCCAGCAGGTCTGTGGGGGTGATTATGGCAGAGCAGGCACATACCATCAGCTTTCAGAGCTCTCTGGTGGGCTAGGATGCTGAGGTTTAAATGCCCCCTGGCAGAGGCAGCTCATGGCAGGAAGTGAGCCTCCAGTCACCAGGCAGGGTGCAGGCAGGAAACTGCTCACCTCCATCCAGCCCAGGGGTCTTGGAGAAGTCTAGTGAAGCCAGAGGCCAGCATGGCAGACCCTGCGTGTCCATGGGAGCTGTGTCCACACTCGGGCACTGGCCTCTCTCCAGCTGAATGGCTGTGGAGGTTTTAGCATCAGGCCCTCCACTCACACTGATATGCTTTGATTTGGTAACAAAGCGAGATTTGGATGTCCCTGCTTCCCCCAATATTCCCTCCCAGCCACTGGAGACTTGCTGTTCTACCAGCTCATTGGGTCAGAACATGACTGTCTTGGTCCCTCTAGGCTGCTATAAAAAAATACCATAAACTGAGTGGCTCACAAACAATAGCAATGCATCTCTCACAGCTCCGGGGACTGGAAGTCCAAGATCAAGGTGCTAGCTGGTTCAGTATCTGGTGAGAGCCCAATTTCTGGTTCACAGAGGATGCTTTCTTGCTGTATCGTCACATGGTGGAAATAGGGAGGGTCTCTCTGGGGTCTCTTTTATAAGGTGATATGGTTTGGCTGTGTCCCCACCCAAATCTCATCTTGAATTCCCATGTGTTGTGGGAGGGACCCGGTGGGAGGTAACTGAATCATGGGAGCAGGTCTTTCCCATGCTGTTCTCCTGATAGTGAGTAAGTCTCACAAGATCTGATGGTTTTAAAAAGGTGAGTTTCCCTGCACAAGCTCTCTCCTCTTGTCTGCCGCCACGTAAGACATGCCTTTCACCTTCCGACATGACCGTGAGATCTCCCCAGCCACGTGGAACTGTGAGTCCAATAAACCTTTCTTTCCTAAATTGCCTAGTCTTGGGTATGTCTTAATCAGCAGCACAAAAACAGACAAATCCGTAAGGGCACAAATCCCAATCATGAAGGCTCTGCCCTCCATGTCTTGTCACCTCCCAGTGATCTCCCTCCTAATACCATCACCTTGGGGGTTAGGATTTTAATGTATGAATTTGGCAAGAACACAAACATTTAGCCTGTAGCAGTGACCACGTGCAAAACAGCCTTGCCCAGACCCAGGGGACCAGGGGCAGATGGAAGTCTTTCTGACCTCCCAGAGGCCAAGAGCAAAGTAGAAATAAGATGCGTGAGAGAGGTCAGGTGCACTTTCATCACTGGGGAGTGGTGAGGGGAGGTACCCTATGTATTTTGGTTCAGTGAAGTTCAGTCAGGTGATGAACAGTAGTTCGATTGTCTAAAAGAAGTAAACCTGCCAATGACTCAGCTCAACAGAGGTGGGAATGTAATGCAATGTAATGAGACATGATTAATCTTTCTTTTGTTAACTGCTTTGCTCATATACACGTCTGATGATCACGTCTGCACACTGAGTGAGCAGGGCTGGGGTGCTCATGAATAATTTAAAGAATTTGCTGTGCAGTGTCCCTTTGCCTACCTTGGGATAGTGGTAGGGCTTCACGGTGGGGTAGACGGAGCCGGTGTAAGTTGGGAGCTCCATGAGAGGGACACGGGAATCATTGATGGTGGCGTAGGCGAGTCTCGTGCCGTCCGGAGACCACCAATGTGCGATGTGTGTCTTCAAAATCTCCTCTAAGGGAAAACAGAGTAGAGAAATGTGAATAGTAACAAGTGAATGGAAATCGGAGCTGCACACGCAGGAACATGAGGTGGCCAGGAAAGAAATGAGTCCCTGCAGAGTCCCTTATCTGCTACAATCTTTGAGGAATCTTCACTGTGTCCTGCACATGCTTATATTTCTTGGGGGCTCAAGAAATGTCTGATGCTGATGACTAAGTCCAGCACAGGAAAACCTCATTAACCAAAGCTCAACCAAACAGATGCTAATCATCTGGAAATGTTTTTTTTTTTCTTTGTACACATTTGAACACTATGAGCCCAACATGTACTTTTGAGTTGAACTATGATTGGACTATTGTTGATTATTACTTTAGTATGATTAGAAAAACAGCACTGGAGAAAGTAAATTCACATGGAAGCATGTCCCATGCAGATGGAACCAAATGAGAAAGTGAGCTCTGGCAGAGGCTGAGTCACCCAAAAGCAGGCCAGGGATTAACGCACACACAGAGCTCCCTCCTCAGATAATGAGTCCAAAGGCCCAGCATGCTTCTTGCAGTACACAAAGGGTGCAAGCTCACTATGTGTGGCTTCTTACAAGAAGGGTACAAGCTCACTATGCGTGGTGGAAAACCAAAATGGATCCATCTTCAGAAGGACTGAAATGAAAGACTGATTCTCTTGGGCTTCAACCAGAAACACCCATTATTCTTTCCTAGCCCATCAGTGTCCTGGTTAGAGTTTTAATGACAGACGAGTTTTGTAAGGTGTGATCTCTATTCTAGAGGGGAAAATTCTACAGCATTTTTTTCAACACATTGGGAGGATACACTTCCCAAGTGTAACCAGTCAGAGAACCCATTTCATTGTGAACAGCTCTTGGGTCAAGGGGTTCTGTCTTGTACAGGATCTATATATGGTGAAACTAATTCCCTCTAGATTTGTTTCTAAAATAATGATTAAAATAATTTATGAGTCCCATTCAACTGGTTATTATTAGGTGTGTACCACAAATCTGCTCTATGTACCCGTAGTGTAGAAAAGTGATTAAGGAGCTTGAAAACACTTTGCAGAAACAAAATGAGGGCATCGAATACAACAGAACAACGTAAATTGGAAGGAAACCAAGGGCTGACTGCCCACAGGAGGGCACAGTCCCAGATAAGGAAGAAGCAGCCCACATCAGCAGCCTCCCAGGTCCCGTGGGGAAGCAGCAGGAGGAGACCAGCTGGTCAGGAGGAGGGTTCATGAAGGGAGGCTTAGCACTGGGTCGGTGTCATCCACGGTGGCGTTTCGCAGCCAAGCCCAGAGGCCTGAAGCAGGCACGCTGCCCATGCTCCTCCTGGGGTGGGAGCAGGAGCCAGGCTCTGAGGGCAGTGGGGCTGGGGGTGAGATGTGCCCGCCTGCCCCCCCCCACCTAGATTTCTGTGGCACCTGGTGTGGCACTGAGGGGGATGCTGCACCTCATTGAACCATGCTCCATGTCACACGAGTCTTCCTCATCTTGCCTTGGTCAGACTCCCCAGCAGAGAGCCCCCCACCAAAGGTAGTGCTGAGTCTGCCGCAGACTCCAGAACAACTTGGTGGAGTCTCCCGAAATACAAAGCCTGTGGTGGGTCTGACCTCCTGTCCCCTGGTGCATCCCGGAGTATGGAGAGCAGGGCTCTGTGAAAAATGAATTCAGGAGTCCTGGTGCCCTGGACTTGAGCCCTAGTCCTGCTGTGTGTTCTTGAGTCCTGATCTTCAAACTAGGGGCTCGACAGCTGCCTCTAGCGCCCCCTTCCCCTCTGCATCTGTCTCACAGCCTCAGAAGCTTTGGCAGTGCTGAGAAGCTCAGAAGCCTGAGGAGGTCAGTGAGGAGAAGACAAAGGAAGGAAGCCAGACCTCCAGGGTCTGTAATTTTCCAGTTGCTTTGGCAGCCAGGAGGTGGATGTTCAGGTGCGAGTTTGGGATGAGGTGACTCAGAAGTGACTTTATGCAGAGTCACCGGATCTGCCCGGTCTGCTCGCTTGGAATGGTGAGTAATTGACTCTAGCAGATGGTCTGCTGGAAAAAACAGGCACCATTTGCCATGCAATTTGTGGGTGATTGTGCTCGATCACGTCTGCACTGCAGGGCCACAAGAAAGGGGCCAATGGGGCTGGAGTACAGTCCCTGGGAGTGAGCAGAATTCACAGTGCAGAGGGAGAAGGGGCAGAGCCCACAGAAATCAGCAGAGGAGCCCTGCAGTGGTTTCCATGGGACATTAATTCACAGCCAACTCAGGAAAATCCAAAACAGAAAAACGGCTGCTGCAACAAGGGCTTTAAAAATGAAGCAGCTTTGGACAGAAACAAACAAACAACAGTAACAACAAAACCCCTGAAGAGACAACTCATTTCTTTCTTTCCTCTGAACCCAAAGCAATCTTTTCTGAGACCACAGGATGATAAATCACTGGCCACGTGCAACATCAGGCCACTTTCATTCCTACCCCGTAGGTTCCACAAGAGGCCACCAGGCAAGACGGGCAAGGGTCACCCCTCATTTCCAACCAAGGTGGTTTGTATCTCATTTCTAGACTTGCTCTCTGAACTAAAGGAAATGCTACTGCTTGGTTCTGACCAGCACAGGCCAAAGTGGGTCATGCTTGTTGGGACAAGAAACTGAAAAAAATGTGGGTGAAGGCTGGCCATGAGGCTGGGCTGAGAATATTCTATTTCCATTGATCTCATCAACAAATGCCAGAGTGTTTCCATGAAGCTCAATTCACTCTTCAGAGAAATAGAACAAAACTATCACTACAGATTATCAAATGTAATGGTTAGAAGGAAACTTAGAGACACACCTTTAATCCCAGCCCTTTGGGAGGCCGAGGTGGGCGGATCACTTGAGGTCAGGCATTTGACACCAGCCCGGTCAACATGGTGAAACCCTGTCTCTACTAAAAATACAAAAATTAGCTGGGCATGGTGGCAAACACCTGCAATCCCAGCTACTTGGGAGGCTGAGGCAGGAGAATCATCACTTGAACCTGGGAGGCAGAGGTTGCAGTGAGCCAAGATCTTGCCACTGCACTCCAGCCTGGGTGACAGCGTGAGACTCGGTCTCAAAAAAATAATAAAATAAAATAAAATAAAATAAAATAAAAGAATGGAACTTAGTGACCATCGGGTCATCGGGTTCAGGATGACAGGTATCTGGTGTGTGTGATGGCAGAGGGTAGTTCCTCTCAACGTCATCCCACATCGAGACAGTGGCACGTGTGAAGAACCTCTGCCATGCCAAAATGCTGGCCGTACAAAACTAGGGCAGCTTTAGTTTATTTTCCCTAAGTGTCCTTGAACACATCGCTCCTTGCCATTTTTATTTTCCTGTACGTTAGTTGCTCATTAACGTGATAATGAAGTATAAGAGACTAAGGGGTAAAAAAGAGCTGGGCAGAAGAAACCTTGACATTTTAGCATTAATTCCAAATGTCCCTATTCTGCAAACATTTTTCTGCAGAATTCCAGCTTAATGAGGCAGTTGGCTTAAATGCCATGCACCAAATATAGTTTAGAAGCAGAGTTTTGCAGAAGAAGAAAACCTATTTCATCAACGAAATTAATTGCATGGACTCCTGACTTGGAGCAAAATGAATCACTTGGCTTTCTGAGCAAGTACAATTAACTCGGAAAAACTGGAGAATACATCTTTTCTTCACCTTCCCTGTCCTGCTGGGGGCTATTTTCGCATCAGAAAAGAAAGATACACCCGGGGACAGTCGGTGGTCAATGGCTGCCTCCCTAGAAGATGCCAAAAGTTGTATCCAGAGCTTCAGCCCCAGGTAGGATCCGGGCTGTGTGTTTTTTTTTTTTTTTTTCATTTCTTGTCACTATACCTTGAAGAGGCCAGTGCCATTATTTGGAGTGTTACTCATTCCTGCCAAACAGCATCAAGGTCATAGCCAGTAGGACAAAATCGCTTCGCGCTCAAGGCGAGAAAGGCCAATGAAGAGGAATCTTCGCGTGGTGCATCCCGGAGTATGGAGAGCAGCGCTCAGTGAAAAATGAATTCAGGAGTCCTGGTGCCCTGGACTTGAGCCCTAGTCCTGCTGTGTGTTCTTGAGTCCCGATCTTCAAAGCTAGGGGCTTGACAGCCGCCTCTAGTGTCCCCTTCCCCTCTGCGTCTGTCTCACAGCCTCAGAAGCTTTGGCAGTGCAGAAGCTCAGAAGCCTGCGGAGGTCAGTGAGGAGAAGACAAAGGAAGGAAGCCAGACCTCCAGGGTCTGTGATTTTCCCGTCGCTGTGGCAGCCAGGAGGTGGGCGTTCAGGTGCGAGTTTGGGATGAGGTGACATTTTCCACGTTGTTTGAGAGAACCGGATGAAAAGCCGGCCACCACTATGATTTCATATTTGCCTAGTGAGATTTACGGTGGTTTGCAGGGGAGTCCACTGAACTGTTGTGCATATGTGTGCGCTGCTGATACAGACACTGGGCCCCACTTCAGGCAGGAGAATTGGTATTTGTTGGGGACAGTGAGGAGGATATAGGCTCCTTTTCTGCAAAACCTCTTCAGGTGACTCTGGTGCACATTCTGGTTAACAATGACTGGCTAGAAAAGAGGAAATCCTAGCATTTGCAACCTAATGGATAAACCTGGAGGACTTGTGCTCAGTGAAATAAGCCAGGCAGAAAGACGAATGCTGAATGATCTCACTCACACGTGTGCTGTGGTTTGGAGTGGTTTGTTTGTCCCCACTAAAGCTCATGTTGAAATCTAATTCCCAATGTGGAGGTGTTGGGAGGTGGGGACTAGTGGGAGGTGTCTGGGTTATGGGGGTGGATCCCTCATGAACGGTTTGGTGCTGCTTTCTTAGCAGTGAGTTCTCCCTCTGCAGAGAATGTGATGCACCTCCAAGCTTATATTAAGTCCCCCTTTAGAACTGAGGAATTGGAGGTTCAGGGAAATTAACCTTATTGAACAAAGACTGAGTACTCAATACACACAATTCCCTAGGGTATAGTAAGGTAGAGACAAAGCTTGTACGT